ATTAAAAAGAAAAAAACCCCGAATCCCCCAATTTCTCAGTCTTAAGTTCAGTCCCCCCAGCATCCCGGAGCCGCGGGAGGGTCGGCTTTTGTCTTGTTAATGTGTCCAGCTCCAATACCCCGGAGTTCGGAGTTCGCTGATCCAGAATGCTAGCATTCAAAGGGATGTCTTCAGGTACAGCCCCGGGAGCGTTAACAACATACTAGGGCAACAGTCAGACCTAAAGATTTCATTTTTGTACTGGTTGATAGCGCTACGATTTTACTTCACAATTTTAATTGATTGATGGCGATTAGTTTTGACTCCACTATTTGTTCTTTCTATTTAAAGGCACTTCTTCTGACTTTTATTCCTGCCCCACTCTAAAACTGTTAAGGTAAGCTTCCTGTGGTTTCGGCTTCTAGTGAGAGGGGGACAGAATACAGTCTCTGGGTTCCCAAACTCCGGGAATAACCGTCGTCTCCCATCCCAGGCCCCCAGGCCTCAGCCAGCCCTTCTCTTCGCAAAGCTTTTTTTTTTTTCCTTGTACCATAAGAAAAGTCTCCGTGATGGCTTTGGGACGGGGCACAGGGGGAGAAAGGCATTTGTGTAACTAGATTCCAGAGAGATTTGTGGTGCTAACGCTAACCAGGTTTGTGGTCCGAACTTGAACTAAAGAGTCTGAAAGATCTGGGATTCGAATTATTAATTTTCCAAAGGTACAATAATTCTTGTGGTTATAAAAGACCACATACAGGAGTACTTAATCTTACAACACTAATTTGTTTGTTGTATTATACCAATTTATATAGAATTTTATAGCTGTAACAGAACTTAGAGATAATGAAACTGGGCCCCAGAGTGGTTAATTTGATTTGCCCCAGATTACACAGATACTATTTAATTCCACAAACAAATAATAGAACAATCTACATAAGGCCTCATTTATTTTCAGTCAGTGAATAAGCACTATGTTAGGCTCTGTGGATGGAAACAAAAAGAATCGATCGTTTTAAGTACAATAATAGATTTCCTAAAAATATGAACTAGTAGGAACATTATTACAGATATCCTAGGAAGCGTGTACATTGTATCGGATATGAAGTGCTATTTAAATAATCATTAGTTTACTCTAAGATATGGCAATAGAATCTGTGACATGGAAGCCCTAACTCTTTGTAAAAGCTGCTTGCAAAGATAACTCCTGCGGTTTAGAGAAAATGGAGTAGCACTAGGAACTTACTGGCACTTGGTCTGGATTGTTTATCGCTTTCCTTCAAGGCAGTCTTTCAATTCATTAGTGTTTCCCAAACTATCTGTCTCTTGGGTGTCAAAGTATAAGAAGTTTGGTTGAGAAGATAGGTACTAAGAATTTGATCTGGGGTCTTCAGCCCTCCCCCCACCCTTTTGAAATGAAGGAGAGAAATGAATGATTTCTGGGAATAAACTTGCAGGTTTATGGACCTTAGGACGCTTTTCGTTGGACACGTGATCCTGTCCATGTGGGTGGTTACTCCTTCTACTGCTTTCTCATCCTGGGAGGTTCATCCACCCATTATTAAATTTTAAATCAAGGACCTCAATTATTTGGGCATTTCTCTTGAAACTTCCAAAGTATGATAAATAATATTAAAAGAAATTACAGTTTTAAGATTTAAGTTTTGGGTAATTAGTAGAAAATCAAAGACCTTTTTTTCCCCACTGTACTTTAACACAATTTCTCCACACCCGCAGATGTGGATGCCATTTATGGAAGATCCATAATTCAACAAACTGATTTAGGTCTTTGTCTTTACCTCTCCTGTGTGACTATTCTTAGTGGCTTCATAGAGGAGGATTATTGAAACTATAGGAACAAGGAGGGGAATCACACCTACGGGCTTTTCAACCACTGCTTTGGGAAAGTGGACTCAGTTTGCATTTTACCCAGGACAATCATTTAGAGAGGAATATTTGTTTTAACGACAACAAATGAAATAAATATTTCTCTCTAAATAGAAAAGAAAAGAAAAATAAAGGCAAAATCAGGATAAGAGTGCCTGAAGTGTGAACCATGTCTCATCCAGGAAGCAGGAAGATTGATCCTGGTCCCATTTTTCTTCTCTCCTGTTTTCTGATTCTCTGAAGCAATCATTTCCCCAACATTCAGAGGTCAAAATAAACAACTTTCTTCCTCTAGAAATTAAATGATTTGTTCTATCATCTTTCCCACCTTCCCCATGGACTACAGGATAACAACTTTAGGGATAATTTTGTCCAGGGGCTTTGGCAGTCTGGTGAAGTTTATAGATTTTTCACAGAGCAATGTTTTTAAACGCACAAAATGAAATACATGGGGTGACAAAGGAAACCAATTACCTTGAAATAGTTATAAAACATATATATTTTTTTAAAGTTCAGGGACCTCAAATTTAGAACCCCTGAATCCAACCCTCTTAAGTTTTAAGATGAGGAAAGGGAAGCCCAGAGAGGTTAAGTAATTTTGCCCAAGGGTACACGAATAATCTTTTCATTTCTCGCTACCTCTAGTACCTACTCAAAAACAGCCATCACCCTTGATCTTTCTCATTGCTGCTCTCCTTTCCCAGTCTTCCTTTTCCTCCCCTAGAAATGACTTTACTCTTGACATGAGAGCACACAGGCATATGTACACATACTCTGGCTTACACAAACAGCTGCTTCAATCTACACAAATACACACGAAAGCAAACAGCCCTGAGATTCGAAAGTAGTGATGCCCCTGTAATCCCAGCTGTCATAAGTGCCCTCTCTCCACCAATCTTCTCTTCCCTACCCCCAAATCAGTCCTTTCTGTAGGAACACGCAAAATACTAAGAGCGAAGAAGGTTGTTTCTCCTCCCTTGCTCACTCTCCTAGCTCCCAGCCAAAGTACACACAGCCTTTTTAAAGTCTGACTGGAGTGCTTCACACTAGCTCCCCACCAGAGTGAATCTCCCGCCCAAAGCCAAGGGAGATAACGTCAGGGATTAGAGCAGATAACCAGAGGAGCAGAAACTGGAGGTGAGTGGGGGCGAATGTGCGTGAAAATTCCTCTTATCCCCCACCTCTAGTTCTCCTTTAGTTCCGCCCAAGAGTAATTTTGTGGAGATTGGCGGGGGTTGAGGAGTGGCGTGCCATGTGTATGTGTGTGTGTGTGTGTGTGTGTGTGTGTGTGTGACATTATCTTAGCTGTCAAGTAGGGTGGTGTGGAAGTGGGAAAAACCAGGGGACTAGAAGGGGACTTGTAGGTTTGCGGCTAGCGTACACCCGCATCCTGTCAAATTTGGGGTTACTGAAATATCCCTCCTCCACCAATATCAGTTAGAACTTTTGTTACCACACTAGGGCGAAAGCACCCGTTTGTGTGTGATCGCCCATTATGGTGAGGATGTCAGCATATCTCTCTGCAGGGTGCCCTTCGGTAGGTAGGTAGTGTACATAGCCAAAGGGTGCACACGTCTGCATATGTCTACGTGTGTATTTATTAACAAAATTCATCTGTGCGTTCTATCTACACGTCTTTATTTGGGAGTCGGTCGGGGGGTTGTTAAGTAGTGCAAATATGGAAGTGGGATTTTGAGCGTTGGGGGACGTTTTATGCATTGAAATACCTCCAAAGGGACCATAAACATCGCTCCAAAATGGTTCCCCAGATTTCTCAAATTTCGAATTAAAAATGCAAAGGGAACTCGAAAAACTAACTGGCTGGCTTAGAGGGCACTTTGAGAGAGGGTAATAACGGAGAGGGGGAGACAGTAAGTGGAGGGGAAGAGTAAGTGGCTTAGGAAAGGGTGCATTTCTACTTTTCCAGTCTTGTTCTACCCATCAGGAAAACTCGATTCGACTAAGCTCTAGCTTTTTGAAGGAAGAGGTGCGTATGGGAGGGGGGGAGGGGCGGGGAAGAAGGTAAGGAAAAATCTACAGACCTGTGAAGGGTGAGATCTTTCTCCTTGGTTGACGTACCCTGGGAGCTTTTGGAGAGTAGAGAGTCTGGGTCTGCCCGCGGCCCGCGGTGGGAACCCAAGACAGTGGGAGGCCTGGAAGTCTGGGGGATGAAGGGTTCTAGTTGTCAGCCTGCAGGCTTCCTCAGAGTACCTATCCCAGGGCTTCCAACGCCTTTCCTTCTCCGCCTCTCCTCACTCCCCCTCTCCCTACTTCTCAGATTGTGACTGGTTTGGTCTAGTCACGTGGCGGGGAGGAGGCGGGAGGTGCCTAGTATCGGTTGCACAGTCAGCTGGCCTCGGACTGTGATGCTGTTTAAAAAATACACACAGCAGGCAAAGTCCAGTTGGGGGGATCTCCGAGGGAAAGTCAAATATGTGCCTGGGACCGGCGGGGTTTGCGTTCAACACCAAGACGGACATTATTAGTGTTGATTATGCTTACTACCCTTACCTTCATTCTTATCAGACGTAGTCCCTATCTCTTGGCTTCCCCTAGTCAGCCTTTAAGCTTCTGGGATAGGGGCGAGGGGGCAGAAGGTGACTCTCCAGGAGCAGCTGTCTTGGGGTTGCGTGTCTGCAGATCACTACCAACTGTATGGTCTCTGAGGGCAGCTATATTACCTGACTTCCAACTGCCAGTGAATGAAGATAAGGAGGGAGGGAGGAAAGAATGTGTGTAACGTCGGAGGGTCCTTGGGAAATACTTTTTTCTTTCTTCCTAGCAGGCTGGAGAGACGCTAAGTCTAGATTCAGAGGAGGGAAAGAGAGGGGAGACAATTCCGGGGCTAATATATTCGCTGAAGACCCAAGCTCACCCTCTTCCGCAACTGATATACTTTAAATATTATATACGCACACTCACATATACACACACTTCCATAAAGGTGAATATACTTGTGAGCATATATACATTTATATTCACACACATTTGTTGATAGCATTTGCAAAACCTGAGTCCCTTCCATTCCTCCTCTTCCACTCTCCACATTTTCCCCCTTGGATTCCAGCGTGTTCCCCACTGTCACCAGCAAAGGTCCTGCTATTCATTGGGAGGCAGTTTTCCTGAGAAGGGGTGACGGGGGAGTGGGGATTGGGGTGGAGGAAGACTCCCCACCCCCACCCCTTGCTTCCCACTTTCCACTGCGCAGGTAAGTTTTGTCCTGGCGGCCGTAAGCGTCAATGATTCGGAGGCCCTCTGTGCTTAGGGGCGGAGAGCTGAATAGTCCCCTCAGACAGGTCTAAAGGTTAATAGAGCAATCACAAAGCCGGATTACCGCGTAAAAATAACCCCATCGATTAGCCCGCAGCCTTCGGCCCCAGATAACAGCGCAGATCAGGCTCTCACGCTTTTGGTTCAGCGTGGTATTCCAACCCCCCTCCCCCAACACACTTCTACCCAGAACAGCATCCCCAACCTTTTCCCTTCCTTCCCCACGCTGGCATAGCATCTCAGATTAGAGGGGAACAGGTTCTGGGCTGGGCTGTATCTGCTGGGTGGACGGTGGGTAGAAGGCAGGAAGTGTAGACGCCAGACTGAGACCAGTGCCGTTCCGGAGCGACAGGGGCAGAAAAGTCCCGCCACTGGGAAACTTTCCCGTTGGAAAGAGTCTCGCCTAGGGATTTGGAATTTTTATCTGGATTATGGATCTCTGTGTAGGCTGAGGTGAGAAACACACAACTTCCCAAGTCCAAAGCAGGTTTATTCATTTAAATTCTTAGATGGCTCTGGAGAAAGGAAGAGAAAGACTGAGGGGCGGGTGGAAAAGGTACAATTCTATGCAGCTCAGCTTCAAAGCTACCCAACACAAGGGGGAAAACCTGACAAGTGAAGGACAAGCAACTGCCTCAGCAGTTCTCGTGGTCTGTGTGTGTGTGTGTGTGTGTGTGTGTGTGTGTGTGTGTGTGTGTGTGTGTGTGTGTGTGTGTAGGGTTAGTGTGTGTGTGGGAAGGGATATCGTTCACATATTAAAGCGAAACTCCCGGTGTTTAAGTATTCTCCCTCGAAATCCGCTCACACTTCCGTTCATACTCCTGTAAGCCATGTCAATATGAGTACAGTGGCAAGTGTTTAAATTCTCAGATCAAGTTAAAACACTACTGGCACAGCTCCTGGCAGTTTGCAAGGCTCAGAGCTGAGAGCCTGGTCTGGGATTGGACGGGCTAAGTGATGGTCCAGCCCTGGGAGTCTACTCTTGCACGGTGGAGTAAAGGGCTCCTCCAGGTAATGAAACCGGCTAGAGTCGAGCAGAGTTGGGGCTACTCAAGCCAGTGCACTACCTTGAAGGTCCCAGAGGGTGGAGGTAGGTGAGTGGATGGGTGGCCACCTACCTGACAAGCCCCATGAGGCCAACCCAAAGTAAGGGAGGAGAAGGACACTGGGACCAAGACAGGCCCAGAAACTTGAGATGGCATTGGCCAAAAAGATACCCAGTCACTTCTAGTGCTTTTAGATTGGAAGGGGAAGGGGGGGGAGCAGCTGGGAGAGTTAGTGCTTAAACAATCAAAGCTCACTTTTAGAATTGTTGAATTTTGAGGGATAGGGCGTTATTGTCCCCCATAGTGGAAAAAATTTCAAAACGCTGCACCATTATTTCATGGCCTTCAACTTCCCCTCCCTCCAAGAAATTCTGGGGACTAAAAGAGAAATATTGCTGGAGAGAGGAGAGAGAACACTCTGTGTGTGTGTGTGTGTGTGTGTGTGTGTGTGTGTGTGTTGGTTAAATCCTTTCTTTGTAAAAGATGCTGATTTGTAACATAGAAAAGGCTTTGAGCACATTTTTTTTTTTACAGCTGCTGTCCTCACAGTAGTGCAGCACAGAGAAACTTGGGCATAGGGAAAGTTTGACAAGGTGGTTCTAACAGTCCTCTCCATCTTTAGTGTTCTACGAATTTATGGAATAAAAATGCCATGAGCTCTCCAGGAATCACCAAGCCTCTGGGATCCGATTGAAAGAGGATCCCTTCTGAGTTCATTGTTAGCAGCGGTGGTAAATCATCTCTCACGCCCTCCACAATAGGGGTGTGTGAGAGGGTAAGGATAAAGTCTATGGGCACAGGGGTTTAGAGTTCTGTGAGCCTCTGCCTGGTTCTAGGAAGACTGTGACTTTGCAGTGGATGAAACAGGACGGAGGATCTGGGAGCTGCCTTGTACAACTTTCTAGATCAAATATGGAGAAAGAAATTATTTGGGTTCAATAAACTTCAGTTAACCCTTTTGACCCGGGACACCCATAGCTGAATGCCGAGGGGCAGCTCCATGGCCTAAAATTTTCTGAAGGGAAGGGGTAGGGGTGTCTGGCTAGGCTACTGATTTCGATTGTACTTAGGTTCTGTTTTGCCTAGACCCCATCTATCCATTCTGCTCCCACTCCCATCCCTGGCCCGGTCCTCTCCCTCCTTTGTAGGAAACATTTCGAGGCGGTTGCCAGGAGCGGGAAACATTTCAAGGACTTCGTGTTCACTTTATCTACTACCTGGAGGCTCTGAGTGGGGGAAGGTTTGGTCTTTTCTTGGTCCCCAGAAAAATAAATTAGGAATTTGAAAAACCTGGGAAGCGCTCTGTGCGTGGGTCGTAAAGTGACTTCCAGGCTCACTAACAACCCTTCCCTAGAGTGAATGGAGCAGGCGAAATAAAGGAATTCTATCTAAAAAGAGGCCTTAATTAAGTACCTAAAATAGCCCAATTATCAAATCACTGAGGCTCTTCACAAACGTTGTTTTTGGCTTTGCTTTGGAGAAAACTCCAAGACAAACTGAAATATCATGCCATACCTTTCATGGTCTTTGCATTTCTATTCTTCAAACTTGCAAAAGTACCTACTATGTACTAGAGCCAGTTTGTGACTCACAGAAGCTCAGTCAGACCTATTATCAGTAACCTACAAGAAACCTGGGGAAAACTGGGGAAATGTACTGAAGGGGAGAGAGTACGGGTAACCTTGGGGGCACAAAATCTCCGTTCCTGTAATTAAAAAAAAAAGCATTTGCTGAGACTTGCCTGCATTGCGCCTATGGAATTTCTTAGCTATAAACCCAGGATGCCCACCTCCATTTAGAAACCTGAAGGCAGGGAAGGACAAGGATGCGATCAGAATGGTAGAGAAAGGGTGAAGTCTCAACAGAGGGTTCGGGCAACCCCGCAGAACTCAGAGGCCCTGATGGAACCTCTTCGCCGCTCGGAATAAGACTTTGAAGAATTGTGTGAATAAAGTCACCTCCAGATAGAGAAAATTTGGAAAAACAGAATCCGGGAAACCCAAGACTGGTTCTCCACGGCTCTTGTCTGCTTGACCGTTTGGGTCTGGTCTGCCTGGTGTATTCTGCTCTGAAATAAGTCTCTGCCACTCGATCATATCGTCGACTCGTAGGTAGCCTCTATTGAATCCTAACCCCGGCGAGCGCACAGGGCTGCTAATGGATCCAAAACGAAAGAACAGAAACGGAGAGCTCTTTTTTCCTCCTTAGTGGATCCTGGGATCCCTGGATACCCAGGGGTAGCATCAAGGGTTCTCGTCACTGCTGAGTCAGCTCTCTCCTCATTCCCCCCCACCCCTAACATATCTCATACTCCGACTCCTACTAACCTGGCTAATTTCGGGTCAAGTGAAACGAAAATAAGATAATCCCGCTTCTACTGTCACGGTGGAAGAGAGTAAAGGAGAAAGGGGCTTCGGTTCTCTCCTACCTGCCTGAGCCTAGGGATCTGGATCATTTCTGGGTCAACACCTGCTTTCCAAGAGAACCACTACATACAGTACAGCTTAAAACGAGAGCTAAAGAGGAACCTTACTGGGGTCAGACTTTAGTTAACCCTGGGCCTGGAACCCTTGTCCAGGAGGAAGGCTGGTGGGTTGGTTTGTTTCTAAGTGGTAGAGTTGCTGAGCTCACGAATTCACAGACAATCCACAATAACTCCTGTGTATATAGCGATTCTTATATGAATCATCTCGTTTGGTAGCTACAGTGGCCTTTTGAATGAAGCAGGGCGACTATAGGAAAATCTACTTAGAAAGATTCGTGGTTTGCCCAGGGTCAAGTGGCAACGCTGAGGCTAGAACCCTGGATTTTCTGATTCTTTTACTTGGAGCCCCAAATAATTTTTAAAATAGCAACAAGAAGAACAAAATTCATAAAACTTTTACATAATAATTTAAATGAGAGCCCAAATGGATAGAACAAGCCTACCTCAAAATTGGGAAGACTTGGGTTTAAGTCTTGCCTCTGACATAAACTGATTGAGTCTGGGCAAGTCATTTCAATTAGTGAAAAGTTTCCGGTCTACCTAGTAGATAGAGTTCCTTACAGCAGTGAAGACAAAAGATGCGCGCGCGCGCGCACACACACACACACACACACACACACACACACACACACCCTCTTTAGAAATGAATCATTCCCTCTCCTTCCTCCAATTGCTACCAGACCTCCAGTTAGAGCTCTTATTCCTTTTTTTTTAATCTTTTATTCATTTGTGCCATAAGGCATTTCTGTAACGAAGTACCGCATTAATTTGTCCTTTTCGTAAGATGGAACGTTTAGAGCTGGAAACAACCTTAGATATCTTGTAGTTCAATCTCCGTAAATTTACAGAATAGGAAAACTGAGGCGAATAGAGGGGAAGTGATTTGCTCAAGGTCATACAGAAGTAGAATAGGATCTAAATTATTTTTATTATATAGTCACGATACTTGAAATAGTGACATTTCGCAGAGCATCTTTTATCGAGAAATTCAAGGCACACAAATCTTTGAAAAAGATAATCTCACTTCGGGGTAAGAAGGAAGGAACTTCCCCCCCCACTCCCTCAAAGAAAAATCTCTTTAGAAACCGTAGTGGCGAGGCGAGGGAAGACAGATGGAGGGTTAGTGCAGGCCTGAGGAACTGAGGCTCAGGTTTGTCCCCAGGACCCAGAAACACACAGACCTGGGAAGCAAGGAAACGGGGACCGTAGGTGCGCGTGGAGGTGAAATCCTGGCAACAAAGGAAAGGGACAGGAAGCTTCACCTTGCTCTAATGCTTACGCAGGGGGACTGGATTCAGAGAAGGGATGACCAGATTCCACTAAAAAATGGACACCCCCACCCCCACTTCTTTTACTCCTTATCTTTGTTCCACGAGTGATACTCCAGGTGTAATGGATTTTGGCAGT